GTTAAACATTGTAAGCTGTATAACATCAAGCACTAACTCCCGGATCTGCGCCTGGAAAAGACACAGGGGAAAAGGGAATTATGGGACATTCCCAGTGAACACAAGGGTAAGTGCTGACAATGCCCAGAGGGGTTTTTTTTGGTACCTGAAAATCCTTCACTGAGCTTTGCTTTCATTTCCTTTACCAACGGAACTGTGAGGATCTGAGCTCCTTCCACTTTCTTTTCACCTTTCATCTTCTTTTGGGGGCCTCTCTTTAGCTCCTGTATCTTGTGCACTTGTATGACAATTAACGAGTTTACTTAAAAGAATTAGAACTAAAGAGTCATCAAAGCAAATCTGTGAACTTTTAAATGGTTTTCTGTGCCGGGCATGGTAGTCCACGCCTTTAATCCCAGCACTTGGGAGGCAGAGGCAGGCGGATCTCTGTAAATTCAAGACCAGCCTGGTCTACATAGTGAGTTCCAGGACAGCTGGGGCTATAGGGAGACCCTGTCTCAAAAAGACATAAATAAATAAATAAATAAATAAATAAAATAAAAGTTATTTGGGAATATTTTCCCTGGTATCCCATCCATGGGACATGTGACTCAGAATCTTGGGGGGAAAACTGGTTACCTAACAAGTTACTGCTTAGAAACGGTAGGCATAGCCAGGCGTGGTGGTGCACACCTTCGATCCCAGCACTTGGGAGGCAGGGATCTCTGTGAGTTCAAGGCCAGTCTGGTCTAAATAGTGAGTTCCAGGCCAGCTGAGACTACAGGGAGACCCTATGTCCCTATCTCAAAAAGACAAATAAAAGAAAGAAATGGGGGCTGGAGAGATGGCTCAGGGTTAAGAACACTAGTTGTTCTTGCAGAAGACCCGAGTTCGAATCCCAGCACCCACATGGCAGCTAACAACTGTCCGTAACTCCAGTTCTAGGGCATCTGACGCCCTTTTCTGACCTCCGTGACATTGCACGACACTGGTGCACTCACATACATGCAGGCAATACACGCATACACATAAAATAAAAATAATAAAAAAAAATTTTTTTAAAGAAAGAAAAAGAAATGGTAGGCGTAGGCATGGTGGCTCATGCCCTTAACCCCAGCACTAGGGAGGCAGAGAGGCAGGTGGATGGAGGCCAGTCTGGTCCACATAATGAGTTCCAGGGCAGCTTGTCCAGGGCAGAAAAAAAGAGCCTGAGTTTGGCCCATGGTATCTAGAGAGAGAGAGAGAGAGAGAGAGAGAGAGAGAGAGAGAGGAAAGAGTTTCAATGGAAACATTTAACTCTTGGGAACCAAATTAAAGTAGATATACTCACTTACCAAGTGAGAAAACCTCGAGCACCACTTCCACCTAATGGCCCTGCCTTCCATGGAACTCCCTTCCCTGGGGCATAAGAAAGTAGAGGAAACTCTCTTAGATAATTAGGGTGTTGGGCTCTGGAAGCTGCAGAGGCTGATTATGCAGGCTTTGTCTGCCATGCATCTCCAGGCCTGTTTTTAAAGAATATCTTTCCTCCTTGAAACTCCCTTGCCCCATTAATAAGGCATTGTGCCCTTGAGAACAGCTAAGGGATAAAATACCTCCAAAAGAAGTTATTATTACTTATCTCATGATATAAAGGCATTTATAATAAAAGTAACTCGTAAGATGCTCTATTTTTCCATTGACAATACACGTGGATGGGAAGTTTCAGTCCCTCCTGCTACAGAAGTGGAGCCACCCATTTGATTGCCCTAAGATGCTAAAAGAGGCAGGCCAGCTCCCTCCTTAGCTCTAGGATAATAGAGAATGTATTTATCACTATAGGTGTAATAAGAAAATTTAAAAATCCCCACAAACTTATGGGAACACCTTTAAAAATATATTGGTTAAATCTTATGTAATTCAAATTGGACTATAAAAGTTTTGTTTGCTTCAAGGCCAGCCTGGTCTACATAGTGAGTTCCAGGACAGCTGGGGCTACAGGGAGACCCTGTCTCAAAAAGACAAAAAAAAAAAAAGTTTTGTTCACTCAGCTGTTACTGTTTCAGATTATATTGCTCAAATACTTATTTAACTAAGATATTGTGGCTTTAACTTAACTGGCATAATTGATTTATTGTTCACTTTGATGGACTCAAACATTGGTTTGTCATTAGAAACTTATGAGAGGATAGACATCGTTCAGTACCACAAGGAGAAAGTTCTCACAACATGATTTATTTATTAATGTTAATATATCTTGTGGTATTAACATAACAAATAAGAGAAAAATGTTAGGAGGACATAAGGTTGGAAATATTTTTAGTAAAAAAAATTTATGAAGATTAAGATGGGTGGATACTTCTGGAATGGAAAGGAGAACTGAAAAAGGTTGTTGTACGTTATGAAGGCTTGAGTAAAGTATTTAGATATGTAAAGATGAGACCTAAGGATGACATATATAATCTTAAATTTTCTAGTGAAAGTGATTGTATTCTAATTAAACCAATGAGCTATTAATCTAATATTGTGAGCTATTACAATGTTTGCTTTTAAAACAGAATATATGTCTAATTAAGGTTTATGGAAGACCATTTAGGTTTTAGAAAATGTTACACAGCACTTAAAATACCAGACTGCTGTAAGTGATCTTCTAGGGGTTTGATAACTATACCTGGAATTCACTCTCCTGCTGTTGTCCATCATAATGACCATATTACTATTATTGGGTTCTTTAAATTGCCTTTTTAAAGATTTGCCATTTCTGTGCTATTTTCAATAATTAGGCACCTATGCCTAGTTTGTAATTGAAATTCTCCCTCAAAACATGATCAATAGCCCCACCTTCTGCCAATACTGGGTCAAATAAGGCAATACACCTTATGTTGGACCCCCAGTCTGGGGTAGCCAACGTTCACAGGAGGCCGCACCCCAATAACTCAGTCCTCAACCCAGGAGATGCAACAAGCAAGAGGATTTTATTCGTTTGCGCAGACGGGCTCCTGCCTCACTCGGAGCAGCATCAGCCCTGAACTCAGCTTACTGGCTATTTTTAAAGGCAAAAACCACAAACCAAAACCAGCAGCAGTGGGAAGGGGCCGGCAGCAGTGGGAAGGGGGAAGTTTCGGGTGATTTTCAACTTGTGCAAGGAGCATGAAAAGGTATGTTCTTTCTGGGCAGTTAGATTTTTTTACTTCCTTGTACAATTTTTCTTTTGCCTGGGGGACTTGGTTTGAATCCATCATTCCCCCCTTTTCTTATGGCGAGATTTTAATCCTAAAATCTTATAGGTCTTCTGTTCTTTTTAGAGCATGGTATTGTTGGGTAAGGACCAAGGCCTGAGTCACCGATATTTGGTACCTAATAAATTGTAGCAATCTGTTGAGGATGCATGGCCCGAAAGTTAAAAGGAGGAGAAGAATAACTAGGGGGCCTATTAGGGTGGACACTAGCGAAACAACATTTTTTATTTAGAGCCGCACAAAGCCCTCCTTTCTTGAGGAAAAGCAGATTTAGTCTCCTTTTATTTTGTAATACCACTTCTGAGAGGGAGGTTAGAGATTTTTCTAAGTGAGTAATTGACTGTTCTATTGCCTTAATGTCTTCATCAACTGCCATCTGCAAATCTGCATAATATTGTGGCCCTTGTATTAAGGCTGCTGTTCCAGTTCCCACTCCCGCAGCCACCCCTACTCCTAGAAGTATTGCTAAAGTTAGGGACACAAGCTCTCTTCTGTACCTTCTTGGTTGTTGTTCAAAGAACTGTTCTACAGACTCTGTGGGGTGATAGAATACTCGGGGCAGGAGCTTAATCATGACACAGTAATCTTGAGAGGTTCTGAGGGCCATATTAGCTACACAGGGAGTTAAACCAGAGTTACATGTTCACCAAGCCCCTTGCGGGGTCAGAAGGTAGTAATTTCTTTCTCCTGAAGGTACAGAGATAGTGGAGTTGCAAAGGCGGGCATGAGTTGGAGGTGGGTTTCCTAAGCAGAGCCCAGATCCTGAGACTTCCGTGAGGGTTAAGGGGTGAGGAGTCTCTCTATGACATAAGTTGGCCGAAGTGGTATTATTGAAGGCCCCTTGGATTGTTACACCCTCGTAATAAGGGGGTGCTGCTGTTAAACATAGCCAACAGGATTCAGTTAGGTTGGGGTCTGTCTGTCTAATGGCCTTATATGCTCCTTGGATTAGATTAAACAGTCAGTCCCCCGTGGGTGAAACCTTGTGACCTGGGGAGCTAGAATTCTGTTTCAACAGGATATTTGCAGGGGAAGTTTCAGAAAGGGGGTTGGAGATTAAAGCTGGCAGGGGATTCGGGTGACTGGGGATGGGATTCTGAACAGGTAAGACGGGGTTGGGGCCTATAGCTATTGAATAGGAGGAGGTGTCTCTTTTAATAGTAAACAAGAGGCCAGGATCTGTCCCCTCCTTGTATATCCTAATTCCCCAAGAATGTCCCTTGTTCCAGTCTGTGGCCTTCTTTCCTGCTGTTGTAAATTCTATCCGGAGGGGGTGGCACCATTTACCTTGACAGTCCTGATTAGGAGCATTTGGGCTCTTATGAGAATAATTTGCTTTTACAGTGATGTAATCCCAGGATGAGGACAGGGACCACCAGGTGTCCCTGGTTGTTTTGCATCCCCAGTTTTTATAGTAAAAGTAGTCCCTCTCTCCACATTGGGAATTGAGCTGCTTATCTCGATGGTTACCTGGGCAGACATAGAAGGTTAACAGACGTAACATGGTCCGTTGTTTTTCACAACACCATCCCCATGTTAAATGGGGCCCTCCAAACAGGGGGTAAGCTTCCGGGCTGGGTATTTTATCAGGATCCGTGAAGTCTGCTATGTCCCAGGGCGCTGGTGCTCCTAAGGCTAATTTATACAAATCTGGATACAATATAGGCCACCAAGTGCCCTTGGGTGCCATTTTGTGGGTTTCAAATACTACAATACCCATTTGATTGATCACCTGCCAGGTGGTCAGCATAGGGCGATGGGGGCTTCCTTGACTGGGAACTAACCTAAAACCAAGTAGAATCATTAGGTATCTCTGGAGAGTCTTATTTTTAGGGGTTTGGATGTTTTGTGTAGATGCCATTTTCCAGCATCCTCCTGGGCCGGGGCTCTTTTGGCATGGGAAGCGTGGATCCAGGCTGAAATCCCGTCTACTTTGAGGGCCGTGGGTGTAGTCAGGAGAACCATGTAGGGTCCTTTCCACTGTGGTTCAAGAGTCCTTACGTTGTCTCTTCTCACATACACCTGGTCTCCAATTTGGTAGGAGTGGGGCGTTTGTGGACTCCCAGGCTGGTAGACAGCAGCCAAAGGCCTCCAAACCTGGTTCTGGATGATCTGGAGGGCTTGGAGTCTTGTTTTTAGGCTGGGGTTATCAAAAGAAGAGGGCAAGGCCAGTAGACAGCAGCCAAGGGCCTCCAAACCTGGTTCTGGATGATCTGAAGGGCTCGGAGTCTTGTTTTCAGGCTGGGGTTATCAAAAGAAGAGGGCAAGGGGGACAAGGTTACATTGAGGACAGGAGGCGGTCCTCTGAAGAGGATTTCGTAGGGGGTTAGGCTGTGCATAGCAGGAGTATTTCTAGCCCAAAATAGGGCTAGAGGTAGGAGCTGCACCAAGTCTTTAGTGTCAGTCTCTAGAGCTAATTTGGTTAAGGTCTCTTTAATGGTTCTATTCATCCTTTCTACCTGTCCTGAACTTTGGGGTCTATAAGCACAATGTAATTTCCAATTGATCCCCAGTGCTTTGGCCACTCCCTGACTTACCTGGGAGATGAAGGCTGGGCCATTATCAGACCCAATTACCTTAGGTAGTCTGAATCGAGGGAAGATGTTTTCAATCAGTTTCTTCACCACAGTCTGGGCTGTCTCCTTCTGGGTGGGGAAAGCTTCAACCCACCCTGAGAAAGTGTCTATAAACACTAGGAGATATTTATAACCATACTTTCCTGGAAGAACCTCAGTGAAATCTACTTCCCAATTAGTCCCTGGTTGTGTCCCTCTTTCTCTCTTGCCAGATGGGACCTTTGATCTGGAAGCATTTACCAGGGAACATGAGACACAATCTCCTACTACCTTCTGAACTAGCTGGTTAAGGTCCGGGAAGTAATAGAATTGTTCTTCTCTTTCTAGTAGTGTTTTTAGTTTCTTGTGTCCCAAATGTGTCCACTGGTGGAGTTGGGAGATTAGCTCAAGTGCTGCCTCCCGGGGCAGTATGGTTCAATTCTGATATCTCCACATCTTGGTTTTGGGATCCAGGGTAGCATTAAGCTTCCGAACAAGTTCCAGGTCTTGTTCAGTGTAGGTAAAAAGAGCTTCTCCCTCCTTTTCCTGTGCCTCCATTTCAGCCTTAAGGTCTACATGTGTATAGAGAATGCAGGTGCCTTCTGCTGCCTGATGGGAAGTTTCATCTGCCATCTGATTGCCTTGAGCAATCGGCTCCTGGTCTCGCTGATGTCCAGGGCAATGAATAATGCTGACCTTTTTAGGTAAGTACAAAGCTTGTAGAAGGGCCACTATTGTTTCTTTGCTTTTAATGTCCTTGCCCGCTGAGGTGAGGAGCCCCCACCTCCGATAAATTTCTCCATGTACATGAGCCATGGCAAACGCATAGCGGCAGTCAGTGTAAATGTTGACCTTTTTGCCCTCTGCTAATTTTAGGGCCTGGGTTAGGGCTTCTAATTCAGCCCGTTGGGCCGATGTTCCGGCTGGCAGGGCTTGAGCCCAAATTATCGTTTTTCCATCAACCACCGCCACCCCTACCTTATGCTCACCATCTCACAGAAAGCTGCTCCCATCCGTATACCAGGTGGCATCTGCATCTGTTAGGGGCTGGTCGGTGAGGTCTTCCCTAGTCCCATGCATCTCCACAAGTATTTGCTGACAGTCATGGGGAATCTCAGTGCCTTTCTCAGGGGTTGGTAGCAGCGTGGCGGGGTTTAAGGTGGCAGGCTACCAAACTTGATCATTTCTGGATTTAATAGTAGTGCCTGGTAATGGGTCACCCTGGCATTTGACAGCCATCTATCAGGGGGCTGTCTAATGATGGACTCCACCGCATGTGGAGTTATGACAGTCAGGGGCTGACCCATAGTAAGTTTGTCTTAGTCTTTTACCAGGGATGCTATTGTCGTCATGATTCTCAAGCATGGGGGCCAGCCAGCGGCCACATTGTCCAGTTTCTTTGAAAGATAATCTCCTGGCCTTTTCCAGGGTCCCAAAGTTTGAGTAAGAACTCCTTTTGCCATCCCTTGATTTTCATCTACATATAGGATGAAAGGTTTTGTCAAATCTGGTAATCCTAACACTGGCGCCGTTAGCAGTGCTCTTTTTATTTTGCCAAATGCTCTCTGATGTTCTTCTGTCCAGGCAAAAGGGGTCCCATTCTTTGTTAAAGGGTATAGAGGAGCCGCTATCTTGGCAAAACCCGATATCCATATTCTACAGAATCCTGCGCTTCCCAAGAACTCTCTGAGTCCTCTGGCTGAAGTTGGTGGGGGAATAGAGGCTACCGCCTGTTTTCTACTTTCCGTTAGCCATCATTGTCCTCCCTCCAGCCAGTAGCCCAAATAGTTTACCTGCTGTAGGCAGATCTGGGCCTTCTTTGCCGAGGCCCGATATCCAAGTTCCCCCAGTCTCAATAGGAGGGCCTCCGTACCTTGCAAACAGCTTGCTTCCGTCTCGGCTGCTAAGAGGAGGTCATCTACATACTGGAGGAGCATAATCTGTGGGTTTCTTACCCGAAAGTCAGCCAGGTCACGATGCAGAGCTTCATCAAACAGAATAGGAGAGTTCTTGAATCCTTGGGGAAGTCGCGTCCAGGTTAGTTGTCCCGATATTTCAGCTTCAGGGTCCTTCCATTCAAAAGTGAAGATGGGCTGGCTAACCAGGCTCAGCCTTAGGCAGAAGAACGCATCCTTCAGGTCAAGTACAGTATACCACCTGTGACTTGGGGACAAGGTACTCAGGAGATTGTAAGGATTTGGAACAGTGGGGTGTATATCCTCTATCCTCTGATTGACTTCTCTTAAGTCTTGGACTGGTCGATAGTCATTTGTTCCTGGCTTCTTTACGGGGAGCAGCGGGGTGTTCCAAGGGGACTGTCAGGGGTGAAGTATGCCTATTTGTAAAAGTCTTTGAAAATGGGGTCTGATTCCCTCTCGGGCCTCTCTGCTCATAGGGTATTGTCTGATTGAAACCGGAGTAGCAGATGGTTTTAATGTGACCACTATTGGAGGCTGGTTGCAGGCCAGTCCTGGGCCTCCTGTCTTGGCCCATGCCAAGGGGATTTTACTTAGCCAATCAGATATACCAGGAGTTTCTGTTATCAGTCCCTCATATAACCAATGTTCATCTTCCAGCCGCAGGGTTAATACCTGTAGTGGAGCTCCATCTTTTCCTTTTACAGTAGCTCCCTTTCTAGTGAAGTGGATGTGGGCTCCTAGCATAGAGAGTAAATCTCTCCCAAGAAGGGGATATGGACAGTTGGGGACCAGCAAGAACGAGTGGGAGACCTGTCCTGTGCTGAGGTCCACTTTTCTTTCTGTGGTCCATCTGTATGTTTTTCCTCCGGTGGCCCCTTGGACCCAGGCTGTTTTGGAACTCATGGGTCCCTCGGTTGTTGTCAGGACCGAGTGTTGAGCTCCTGTGTCTACCATGAAGGTAGTCAATTGCCCCCCTATCTTTAAAGTTACCCTGGGCTCAGGGGAGAGCTCCCGGCCCCGACTCCCCTAGTCCCCTAGAGTCAGGATTGGGGTTGTCTTCTTTTGAAGTTTGTTCAGCTTCTTCGGACATTCTCGAGCCCAATATCCTCTCTCCTTGCAATAGGCACACTGGTCTTTATCCACTCTGGGCCTTCTTTTGTCTCCCAGGTCCCTACCTGGTCCTGTTCCCTGAACTACTGTGGCCAAAATTCGACTTAACTCTTTATTTCTCTTTTTCTCTCTCATCCTCTCTAGCTTCCTGTTCTTTTCTGATTCTGTCCTCTCTTTCCTCTAATGTTTCTCACCTGTTATAGATTCTCTCAGCTTCTCTTACTAAGTCCTGTAAGGAGTACCCCTGAAGGCCCTCTAGCCGTTGGAGCTTACCGCAAATGCCAGGAGCTGATTGTCCTATAAAGGCCATAATAAGGTCCGCCTGACGCTCCTGGGCCATGGGGTCAAAAGGGGTGTACATCGATATCCCTCTATCAGGTGCTCTAGGAACCCAGCGGGGGTTTCATTTTCCCCTTGGGTTATAGCACGTACCTTTGCCAAATTGGGCGCCTTCCGGCCCCTTTGAGACCTGCTATCAGAGTCTGGCAATAAAGACGGAGACGCTCCCTACTGGCCATAGTCTCGTGGTTCCAGTTGGGTCTGGTCAGAGGAAATCCTTCATCTATTTCATTTGGGAGCATAGTGGGTCTTCCATCCTGCCCGGGGATGTTTTTCCTGGCCTCTAGGATGACTCACTGTCTCTCCTCTGTGGTTAGGAGTGCCTGGAGGAGTTGTTGACAATCCTCCCAGGTGGGTTGGTGGGTAAGGAGAATAGACTCTATTAAAGCAGTTAGAGCCTGAGGATCCTGAGAAAAAGAGGGGTTATGAGTCTTCCAATTATATAAGTCAGAGGCTGAAAAAGGCCAGTACTGAATCTGATCTCCTACAGTTCAGAGGGGAAAAGCCAGGTTCCATCAGAGGGGCCCCCTCTATCCCTCCTGAGGTAGAGTCTGCTAGATAGAGGGGGGGATTGGTCGGGTTCGGTGGAATCAGGAGAGGGATGAGGTTCCTGGGGTGGAGGTGCCTGCACTGGTGGATAGGGAGGTGGAAGATCAAGGAGGGTTAGGGAGGCTTGGTCCTCGGGGAAGACTGGCTTTTGTTTCTTCTTCTTAGGGGAAGACTGAAGGGGCAGGAGGGAGGAAGTGAGACTCGGGGGAGCAGAAGGGGTATGGGGTCCTTGATCAGTTTCTCTGATTCTCCGAGGAGGTAGGAACGGTGTGCCCAAGATGTGGGGTTCCGGGCCAAGTCTTCCCAGGTGACTATGTAGGCCACCTGGTCCGGGTGTCCGTGTGGTCCTGGGTAGAAAATGTATTCCTTAACCTGTAAGATAGTAGCAAGGTCAAAAGTCCCATCCCTTGGCCACCCCTTTTCAAAAGAGGGACACTCAGAGGAACAGAGACTTTGCCATTTCTTCTTTTGGACCTCCACTGATAAATTGTGGGCCCGCTCCACGACCTCCTTCCAATATTCTAGAGTTAAGCTTAAGGGGGTAGTTAGTGATTGACCCATGGTGGAGGTCACAGAAGAGAGGAGAGGAGAGTGAGAGAGAGAGAGAGAGAGATGAAGATGCCACTCCAAATAATAGTGACCAGTGAGTGTGCTTGTGGATGAGTACCTATTGTTGCCCAGTTTTTCTTCTGCAGGGGACGTGAATTTATCTGAGATTCGCATCTGGGACCCCCTTATCCTTTCACGGGAGTCTTTTGGCAGCAAGCGCCCTGTGGCTCTTACTTGCTCGACCCGTGCCTGCGGGGCTTTTTCCAGTGGCTAGAGAGAGGGATGGAGAGGAGAGAGAAATACAGATATGGGGTCCTGTCTCCACCCGTGTGGGCAGTCGGGGTCCGTCAAGAGGGCTAAGAGCCTTTGGTTTACACCAGGGAGTAGCCCTGGCCAGAAAACCTCAATTGCTCCTTTGCTTTTAATGGTCCCACGTGAAGACTTAGGCCGAAAACAACAGGAAGGAAAAAGGAGGAAGGGAAGGTTTAAAATAAAGAGTGTAGAGAAAAATACAAAACCAGACCTCCCCTTATTAAGATATTAACACAACCATCAACCATACACACCACATTGAATCATATTCGTGTGGACCGGTCCTTCTTTCACTCAAACGCACACTGCACCCACCATTCTCACTTTCAGGATCCCCGAGCACAAACACAGACACACACAAAACAAAGAATCCTCGGCGCGTGCTTCTTGACTCAAAACTGAAAGTATAGACCGGGAGGGGAGTAGCCAAGCCGATCTCCCTTCTTCTCCCGGGGTGAGGAAAGCTACGCTGTCCTCCCCACTCCAGACCACTCTGGTCACTAAGATCAGAGTGTTGGAACCAGGGGTCCCTGGGCATGTCTGCCACTCCCACTGATTCCCAGAATACAGACTTACAGGTCCTGTACAGGCACAAATGTTCAGACAGAACGTTCCCAGAACAGGAAATGACTGACAGACATTAAGACCAAGACAAACCACAAGACGTCTGTCCTTACCTCCTACTGATCTGAGGAAATAGGTCTGGGGGCAACCGAATCCCGGACGAGCCCCCAAATGTTGGACCCCCCCCCCAGTCTGGGGTACCCAACGTTCACGGGAGGCCGCACCCCAATAACTCAGTCCTCATCCCAGGAGATGCAACAAGCATTTGGATTCTTTATTCGTTTGCGCAGACGGGCTCCTGCCTCACTCGGAGAGGAGAAGCCCCGAGCTCAGCTTACAGGCTGCTTAGAAAGGCAAAAACCACAAACCACAAGTGGCTACTGAGCCAAAAAGCAGAAGCGGGAAGGGGGATTTTACGGGTGATTTCCAGCTTGTGCAAGGTACATGAAAAGGTCAGCTCTTTCTCAGCAGTTAGAATTATTTTCCATTTTACTTCCTTGTACAATTTTTCTTTTGCCTGGGGGACTTGGTTTGAACCCATCACTTATTAGCCCAAAAATCTCTAATACTTTTTTTTATTGAGCTTTTGTAATTTTATACAACAGTTCTTAGTCAAATTTAGATCCCCTCCCAGATCCATGCCTCCCCTGTGCCCCCCACCGGACATCATGTATTCCACCATACATGTTAAATCCTATTCAATTATCTGTACCCAAATGTCCTTCAATGTAAATTCATCAACTGGAGTCTAGCCAGCCCATCTAGTGATCATATGTAAGTCATACTCTCTCTCACCCGGCAGCGATCAGTCTCCAATAGTTCTCAGTCATATTGCACTTTATGGATAATATCTTATTAATCTCCCTTTACTAAAGGTATAAATATGTTTTGAAATATTTATAAACTTCACCAAAAGTAACTTTTATTTATAACTAACCCAGATGAAATTTGACTAAATGTTCCATACAACTATCTTGAATATATTGTCACTTATTTCTTTTTTCATTAAACCTCACAAATTACAATTATCTGTTCAAAAAAAAAAAAAACCACTAAATTCTTTTCAACAGATTGTAAGGCACTATCAATTAGCCTTCCCTAGGAATTCTCAGAATTCCAAATGTTACTTTTCCTCAACTTTTTGCTTCTCATAAAGGAGATATGATTTAAATTCACCTGCATTCTAACTTCTCTTGCATTACAACAGTTACAACTAGTAGCTAGAGCATTAGAATTTTTTCCAGGCACTTATAGTTATCTGTTATTTCTAATACTTCTCTTTTCCTTACAGAATTTTAAAATAGTTATTTCTATCCAATACACTTAAACAAAACATATTTTTACCCCAACTCAAGAATTAATTACTCTTATTCCACAGGGGTGAACCAGGACTATACAACTTACTCTTCCATAAATCAAGATAATTTTAACTTTCTTTTGCAGACCTCAAAAGAATGACAAGTAACTTTTGCTGATTTTTGGAACTAACTTCCTTTCACTTTGCTCCACATGGAATTTCATCACTTCTTATACAAATATTTTCCTCTCATAAATACACATCCAATTCTACAGGCACTAACAATTTTTACAGTCAGTAAATCAGGCAAAGAAACTATTATATGGTACTGGACGATAGCCCTCTCTTGCAACCCTTGGGACAAACACCATCAAGCAGGCAAAACTTTTAGCTGCCCTTTCTACCTTCCAATTTACTAACTGACTCTCACTACATGCGTCAAGTCATCCCACTACTGTTCATGAATTAGACTCCTTTTGTTATCATTATTTACCTCTCTTTAAAGGTTCCTTCATAGATGAATTCATCCAGTTTTTATTCAGTGCATTGGATCCCATACAGAATTTTCTGGTCTCCTCACAAAAGGAATCATAATGCTAACTGCTTACTTATGTCTTTTCAATTATTGCAGGTACAAACTCAACAAACTATGTGGTTCTATTCTGACTGCTAGTCATTAGGCCCCATCATCTGGAGAGAAATTAATGCCTTAGGTCTTCATCCTAATGACCTTTGGCAAATGGAAGTAACATCATGAATTTCTTTGGTCTAAATTTTTTTTTAATTGTTTATATATGTGGTGATATTTTTTCAGGCTTTATCTTTACTCCAACACATGAATCTACTCAAGCTATCTGAAGATATTTATTAACCACTTTCTCTGAAATGGGGGGGGGGAGCAAAACAAAAAGTTGTCCTAGTTGTTGTCCTGGTTATGTAGCCAAAACTTTTATCTATTTGTCAAATTGAGAAGTTTGTGTCTTGCATGGCATTTCCTATAAAACCCCCAATGACAAACTACAATTAAACTAACTCATCTATTATTCAAAAATGAAATACATAAACAAAAAGGGAAATAAAGGGTAGCCATTGAGGAACAACTTTTTAAAAAACAAATTAAAATTTTTAATTGTTCCTCTCGATTCCTCCC